TTTTTTTTGGCAGAGCACCCCCCCCCCCTACCAGATCATGCTGGATCCATCCCTGGTGCTGAGCATTCCGACGTTGGTCTCCGTGGGCTTGGGATAACCTCGAAAGATGCATCAACATTGGAAATGTCTAACATTGCAACACTCTGGGTCAGAACCATGCATAACCTCAATCAATTTAACATTTAACTGCTTAACCTTTTACTGGAAAAAAACCAGATGCTACGCATCGATGGAATGAAAGTAAAACCTGGCGCACACGATGCGATTTTATTCGGCCGATAAAAATCGTTTGACATACCGATATACATCGGTATACTCCCCACACGATTACGAAAAAAATATGCTCCCTGAACTGTAGCCGCCATGTTGCCAAATAAATACAAGCACGTGATCACAGCATGAAATCTGATTGGTTATACTTAAAATTCCACCGATAAAAATCGTATAATATCGAAACATTTTGATGTTGTCCGATTAAAATCGAGCAACAAAAATCGGTTAAAAATGACACCGCACACAACGATTTTGTTAGTTTTAGTCAAACGATTTTTATCGGCCGACTAAAATCGCATCGTGTGCGCCAGGCTTGATATTGAAAGCATGAAAATATGTCGCCGACCCGATCACAGTATGCAGACTAGTTTTCTTCATGAAGTATTTAACTATCGGATAAAAATTTAATGCGTCCATTTTGACTTTGTAATATTAATATTTCTACGCTTCGCTTCACATGGTTTATTTTACAATGTCCTGCTGGTGACTGTAGATATGAACATTACACGATCGTGACCGTGAGTGACTGATTTTTAAATTAAGTTCTTATACCTGTCATCCCCTTCACATATGTTACCACGTCTCCACTAGTGGTGAAAGTTGAACGTATAATCGAATTACAAGTTCAAGAGAATGACAATAAAGAAAATGTATTTAGCTTTGAACGCTGAACAAGAGAAGAACATAAATTTCAGATTAGAATACGACAACAGTCCAACATGTATGTCGCGTGACTTATATGTAAACTAGATGCTAATTATGCAGGTTGCAGCTGCCTAATACGAGAACACTAAAATACTCTTCGGTAAAATAACAGCACAGATTTTCTGTGCTGAATATTCTGCGCGTGTTTTTTCGGTAGTAACACTGCAGCATTAAAGAAAGTTCTTTACTGAAGGTCGAAGAAGAACAGTTTAGAAATTATGTGCAATAATATTATGACAGACTGATTGTTTGAAGGATTCAACTTACTGAGAAATACAGGACAAACTTCGACGTCTCTAGCGAAGGCACTTCGCGGAAACGAGTCGAAGTTCTTTCCTCTTTAATAAAGTTTGTTTGGCTTAGGTTTCCTCCTGTAGTAATTGAACTGGAGTATCAAGGAAAGCCCTTACTGAAGTTCAATAAATATTAATAAAGATAGAGTTTAATTAGTGTAACACACGATCTTATCAAGTCTTTGACTCTGCGATGAGATCAAGCGTGCTGAGCGTTTGAACCATCTGTACTTCGTCGTGTATAATTAAAATTTATCTTGAAGAAATGGTAACATTTCAATTTTTAATGCAAGCTTATCATGCCCAAATACTTATTTCCTAAAAAACTACGCATTTTCTTGAAAAACAAAATTTAGTTGCTTAGCAACGGCCTTGGTAACTAATGTCAACTCCGAAAACCCTGCCCCCCGATCATCGTTGTTTTGCCTCTACCACCCCTCGCCTACGAACACAAATAAATCTAGTCGCCACTGACCAGTTTTATACATGAAGAACTTCATTTTCCGATGCATAAAGAGTAAAAACATTTGAGTGTTTCTTGCTGTGTTTTATTTATGGAGATTGTGATTATTTGTTTGCGCCGTTCCTTTCTTGTTGTTGCAGGTTTTTTTGCCGATGAGTTATAGTAAGATCGCTGAAACGATTGCTGAAAATATTGTGACAATCGGTAAGAGCGAATCGCTGTTTGTGCGATGAGAAGTATCGTGAAACTCCAAAATAAGCCAAGACGGTTTTTCTCAAATTGTATAATTATCCCCCTTGGTAATCTTGTAAACATGATAACTGAACATTATTCGTGCTATCATCATGAAATTTCAACACCTGTAGTTTATATATATAATAATTGAGAGCTAGGAGATTTCATTATGTTAAATTTTGACGCCCAGCTGGAGTATCATACGGATCTATACTTTCGCCGACTTTTTTAATATCCAAAGAGACGACTTAACTAGATGCATGCTTGTGTTCCTTGCTGTGTAACTTGAGGTCAGCACACACAAATATGCTGATACACACATATACACAAAGTGAATGCATCATGAAGGGAGAGCGTAGTAACATGCAGGAAGTCTTAGACTCTGTTCAGAACTGGTCAGATACTAACAAAATGAAGTTGAACGCAAAGACAACGAAAGAGTATGTGGATTTGCTTTGGGAAATCTATCACACAGCCACCCAATCCGCCGCCGTTACACCGTGGATAATATGATTGAAAGGGTAGATATATTCAAGTCACTTGGTGTTAATTAGCTGTCAAAGTAACATGAAATTACCAGTAAAGGAAATAGGAGATTACACCATCTAAGGCAATATGGGAAGACCGAGCTTTCTACGGAAGTCTGTCTTGCAACTTACTGCATCAAAATTCAATCCATGCATGCTTGAACATAATTCACCAGTTTGAGATGGCCTAGCTCTCATACAAAGGAGAAGTTTACGCATTATTGGTTTACTGGTCGGCGCACTTTCTTCGCTTAGCGAAAGAAGATAAAAACTAACTCTTCGAGAAATAGAGGCAATTATTTGTGACATGGACTCAAACCATCCCTGTCACCACCTTAATGTCCCTGTCGCACATAAACATGACTCTTCTAATATAATTAAAGAAAATAGAGCTAATGCATGTAGGTAACATTATATCTAGAACAGAAAGACATAAATCATCGTTTATGCCTTGCGCAATTGAACGTTTTAACAATAAATTTTATTTTTTATTGTAATATATGTAATTCATAATTTATTATAATATATGTAATTCATAAGGTGGATTAGTCTACCTAAGGTGGATAATTATTAAGCTCTATATTATTATCTTAATTACATAGTTCATGATCAATTGTGATTACAGCAAAACCAATTTCAATGCAGGGATAATTCTAGTTCATCTTCTAGCCAGAGCTCTTGGTGTCATTTAAAAATATTTCATTATTATTGCTTTAGTTATGTTTGCAAATGTACTGTATGCTATTTTCTCTGCTGGGATTGTATTATCTTTGTTGCTATGCAAACCAGATGTTCACAATTAATCTTCTTAAAGTTCAGGATTGCCTTTTAACAACTTCCAATCATAAAACATCAATTTGTTGCAAAATAAAGAAAAAAGATTCTTGTGTAAGACCATAACCTCGTTTAAGGTGGCTCAATACAGTTTTTAAAAAAATGGAAAATTCACGATTTAGATGCGTATTTTTTAACAATTATTTCTTGTTGAACAAAAAGTACCTTACTTATATAAAGCAACATCTAAAGCGTTTGAATTTGTGCACAACAATTACGCAACTGCCATGCTATGCAACTATTACAACAATGAGGTTTCAAGATGGCGGTTATTATGGCGTTAAAGTAATTCAATTCGTAAGCGACATCGCTGACCCCCAGATTTTATTTTAAAAAATGATTTCTCTTAGTATATTGAATTACGTTGACAATTTAAAAAAACTTCTGTTGAGCCAAAATGTTTAAAATTACGTAAAGGTAATTATTCATAATAATTTTTTTTCGCTCCACAGAATTTTTTTTTTAAATTGTCTAAATAATTGATTATATACTAAGAGAAATAATTTTTTTAAATTTAAATTACTTTAAAGCCAAAATATCCGCCAACTTGAAACGTCATTGTTGCCATAGCAACGGCAGTTGCGTAACTTTTGTGCAAAAATTCAAAGTCTTTAGATGTTGTTTTATATAAGTAAGGTACTTTTTGTTTATCAACAAGTAATGATTCTCCAAAAATACGCATCTAAATCGTGAATTTTTCATTTTTTTTAAAAATAAAGTATTGAGCCACCTTAAAGAATTAAGAGCTTATTTGAGGACGTGTGCTTATTTGAGGACGCTTGGATTTTCTTGCTCATTAATTAGAAGTCAAACTTTAAGTTGCTATATAATCCGAGACTAAAAATCTTGTTCAAATAACGCGATTTGCCGCACGGTTGCTTTTCGAAGTTAAGAAACGTAATAAAATTATGATAAGCATATTGTATTGAAACGTTTGTTTTGATAAATTGATTTTTAATTAAAGTTGCTAAACTTCTAGCGTGAGCTGTGGGTTTTTTATCTGAATTAAGTTATTTGGGATTTCTGTCGTCGTCGACGACTTTGCGCGTCATTGGGGATTTTGTCGGGGGTATTGTGATGTGGGAAGGAATCGGACTGTTAAAAGCAGCCTTTTGAATTTTAACGTAAGATGGATGGCAGATGAATCAGATATAGTTCTTCTAACAAACGATCAAGAATATTGAAGCGTATCAAGTATGATATATCAAACATCTTTTACCAAACAGATTAAAGGGGATCCGAAAAGCAGATTGAATAAAACACTTAACTAAGTTTACGTGAATGGCATGAAGAAACAGTTGTGTATTATTTCAAGTTCATAATTTACGCATGTGGTATTATCCTCAATTAAATATCTGGCTGATGGATCCTATGGCTATAAGTATGACAAATAAGATCAATATTTTTCAGTCTAGTTTCACCGATTGATCTCAATTCTCGATCATTTCGAAAATGAACTCCACAGTTGGGTATATATCAGTCTGCCGCATTCTGTCTGATGTTTATCCTGTGATCCTGAAGTTTCCTTCTCGACTTGCATTCCTTAACCACGTAATCGCCTGCATCTTCAACGGTTTTCTAACAATAACAACTGTCGTTCTGAATTGCTGTATCGTCGTCACGTTTTCACGTGCACCACGACTAAGGAGGAATGTCTCACTGTTCCTCGTCATGCCGCTATCCTTCGCCGACATTGGAGTTGGTTTGATTGCGAATACTATTTTCGTAGTCGAATTAGCAAGTCAGATAGCTGGAAATATCGATTGTTTCTTGCACCTAGTTGGAAACAGATCCAGCATTGTCCTGACCAGCATTTCCTTATTAACAGTTACTGCAATAAATATCGAGAGATATTTTGGCGTAATTCATCCGTTCTTGCACAGAACTAAAGTAACAACTGGTAAACTTTTGACTTTCGTCATCTTGAGCTGGTCAACATGTGGGGTGGTGTTGGGAGTGTCGTTTTTCGCTCATCGTCCTTTAACTATCTTTGGTGCTGTCGTTAAGTTGGCCTTTGTTGCCTTCACAGTATTTGTGTACGGAAAAATTGCATTGATTGTCTTTTCCGCGAAGAAACAAAGCAATTCCTTCTCTAGAGCTTCAATCCTGAAAAGTTATTCCGACGAATCTACAGAAACAGACTCGGCACCCTCATCGATTGAAAAGCGAAAAGGTAAACTTCATTTCCTGGCAGAACTGAAGCTAGCCAAATCTTGCTTCTACATTGTCATTTGTTACGTGGTGTGCTACTCACCTGCGGCTGTGTTGCTGGGCGCTATGAGGGAATCGTTCCAAGGGTATGATCGTATCTTAGCTGTGATATGGTGTACTACTTTGTCGATGCTGAATTCAACTCTTAACTCCGTGATATTTTTCTGGCGCAGTCGTCAAATGAGAAAAGAAATGATGTATGCCTTCAAAATTAAACAACGAAGACGAAGGAATGATGAGAAAAGCCCGAATAAATTAAGCTAATTAAAGTCGTCAATTAAAGCCGCCACTTAATGTGATAAACTAGTCGAAGATAATAATAGATTGGATGATCTGTGCAAGTGCAGGTAGTGCCAATAATTAATAACAAATTTTCAGTTGAAAGTAATGCGACTACCTGAAAAATACAAGGAGAACTTTGATGATTCGAGCGAGGGCCACTCGATCGTTCTAACTTTCCGACGAAGGGCCTTCGCTCGCAACGTAGAAGTCTCCTTGTATTTTCAGGTAGTTACATTTCTATCAACCGTAGTTTTGTTAATAATAGACTGGCCATTTAGAAAAATATCATTTAAAAATGTTTATCGTTTTTAGAGTGACCGTTGTAATTATTATTTTTTAATGAAATGACTGTGTTACTTTAATTAATGCTGAACAATTGGTATACAACCCTTATTGATTTAGTGATACACTAAAGGAAGAAATTAAGGCAATGGGGCACAGAAACGTTCGCCAAGTAAAACGAAAGGCAATGAAGAAGACGAATTAAAAAAAACAACTTTTTTCAACAAACTTTAATTAGAACTTAGTGAATGGTTCGGCCAAAATAATTATTAGAAACTGTAAGATTGATACATAATGTCAGTTAAAATCTTTTCTTTAAACATTAAACTGCAGTTTAAGGTATGCTATAGATGTCAGATGTAATAAATTTTGTGGAGATCTCTCACATATCTAATTACCCAAATTCAACCGCAGGAATCTAGGCATGTGTTGCTCGTTGTTTGCCGTTTGAGGTAAAAACACAACAGTTCGAATTCTCTTTTGTCAGTCAATGGCACCGCTGCGTTTCATTTTTCATCCTGTTTTTAATGTTACCATTTTACATTTCGTTTTTTTGTTCGGTAAAATCTTCCAAGATAATTGCCGTTTGCTGGCGCATATGCTAAAAATACAAGACCAGTTAAAGAAAATCGTGCTTTGCCACGGATATATGTTGTAAGCTGGGATTTTTAATTCGATGAAATACAATATATACATATATACTCATATATATATATATATATATATATATATATATATATATATATATATATATATATATATATATATATATATATATATATATATATATATATACATGCAGTTCTTAAAAAGATAATATTTTTCTTCAAATCGAAGTCAAAGTAGGAAATTTCGGCAAACTCCTTGCAGACCACGCAGATATAAACAATAGAAAGGAGACTGAGACATTGACTGAGACTGCTCCATCTTTGGCTTCACTTTTTTGACTCGCTTCAGATATATATTGAACTCACTGCATGGATAAACGTTTGTAATATGTGGTAAAAATATCTTATGCCAATAAAACCTTATAGAAATTTACCGGAATACATGGCACAGTTCTGGCCTATAGCCAGGTGTGCGGTTACTAATTTCAGCCGGCTGTCAACACGTGGAAAAGGATAGCCTGCGGATACAAAAGTTCATCAATCATCGCAGACGCATGGTTATTTTTCATGTGTGTCATGGTGCGTGGTGTCTAGGTAGTCATCTCGCAGATCTCAAAAATATGGCGGTTGACTACCAGGAGTAGAATGAGAATGTTTCAAAGAGATATTGGATAGTCGTATCATATATAGTGAGCTCTGCCTGAATGATTTGTAGAGTTTTATATTTTACTGGATATCGTGTAATCTCAGGCAATTATTATTGCTTTACCAAACAGGTATAAAATTCGAACCGAATCCCGACCCAACTCTAACCCTATAACTGTATCTTGAAAATGATTGATTCAGAATACAAAGTGACCTTCATTGTAGACTCTTATCCATATTCTCGGCCACATTATTGAACATAATAATAAACGGAAACGATTTCTCGTATCAGTCATATTTAGCTTTACTGTAGAATGAACATATTTGTGCGAATGGCGTAAACCACAATAACATGGCCAATAATTCGGCTCAAATTGTGAAAAACCTACGACTCTCATCACCCAGTAAGATCACCCAGTAAGCCATAAAAGATCCATAGCAAAAACTTTCGTTCAAATAGCTGAATCCTTGCCGTCAAACAGTGATTCTCAAGCTAATGAACGTGAATATGTACTAAATGTTTTAGGGGGAAACGATTACCCAAAACGATTTCTCAATTTGTAGGAACCAAAATAACTCCAAGGGTGATACCTCTGCTAAGGGTTATGCAATAGTTCCATACATTTGAGGTGTCACAGAACCAATCAAGAGAATCTTAAGTAATTGTAATATTAAGGTTGCCTTAAAACCCTATTTGACTTTAGGCCATATTTTCGCAAAGCGTGGCATATAAATATGAATAATCATGCTTTGAATAGGGATGACGGTGCATATTTGCCAGAGGAATACATGCATCTCATTGGCAGGTGACGTCATCCCTTGAGTATTTAAGAAGCTACGATTGCAATTTTAGATCACCCCTGATGAAGACACTAGACTGGAGTGTCGTAACGTTGGTCTTGATTAGAATCCAAATCAACCTCCTTGCCAGGCTCTTCCCTCTTGTGCAGGAAAGACCCTGGCTGGGGCTGGTCACGTGGCACGCAGATTCTGCGTGCAAAAATAAAATGTGTCCATGGGTAGGGTGGTAGAGGAGTGGTTTGTCGTGTTTGGAAAATTGCAACTTATGTGTTCTAGTTTCTGGTAATAAAAATGTAATTTGCAACAAGAAATCGTGAAATAAATTGCTTAATAAAAATTATATTTATCATGACACGACTTCCTGCTATATCGATGTCATCAATAATGAGTGTTGAGTTACATTTCAAACAAGAAGCTGGATCATATTTCTATTGCAAGGAAAGAAGACCACACGCTTCGTACAGCTTGCGAAGTTGAGCACGCTTCATCGTAGAAGGTACTTTAATATCTTCCACACCGACCGACCAAACGAACGATCTGGTTGTTATATTGAAGTGTATCCTGTCCGATATTCAAACGAATTTTTTTATAACGTGATCTTTTGTTTTCCGAAACATCGCCAACTGTTTGTAAACAATGCTACAGGATCTTGACTTGTGAAAGCACAGGATTAAAACCCGCGTTCGATTCTTGTGGACAATAAAATTCCTTGCATTGACATCGCTAAAACTGTATATTTATATATATATATATATATATATATATATATATATATATATATATATATATATATATATATATATATATATATATATATATATATATATATATATATATATATATATATATATATATATATATATATATATATATATATATGTATGTATATGTATATATATATATATATATATATATATATATATATATATATATATATATATATATATATATATATATATATTTATATATTTATATATATATATATATATATATATATATATATATATATATATATATATATATATATATATATATATATATATATATATATATATATATATATATATATATGTTTATATATATATGTTTATATATATATATATATATATATATATATATATATATATATATATATATATATATATATATATATATATATATATATATATATATATATATATATATATATATATATATATATATATATATATATATATATATAAAATATATATATATATATATATATATATATATATATATATATATATATATATATATATATATATATATATATATATATATATATATATATACTATATATATATATATATATATATATATATATATATATATATATATATATATATATATATATATATATATATATATATATATATAGAAAGACACAAAAACTTAGCAAGCTTTGTTTGGCATATTTATTACTATACAGTTTCGTACCACGTACATAACGTGGCACTCTTCAGATAAAATAGCCTGTGTTTGACCTATAGCTTCTAACGAACTTTTTAAACATGTACAAATGGTAAAGAATGCTTATCTAATTACAAATCAATTAACACCTTAAGTAGTGTCACGAAAATATTAGTATCAAGTTATGTAGAAATTTATTAGCGTTTCTATACACGTGGAGACAAGTTCGTTGCGACGATTAAGTGTTGCAATGTCCGGTTTACAAATAATAAAATACTTCTCCCAGATACACAAGTTACATCTCTTGGATGCATTACTGTAAGATTTAGCACGTTTTAAAAATTTTAAATTTTAAATTTCTAAATCTTACAGTAATGCATCCAAGAGATGTAACTTGTGTATCTGGGAGAAGTATTTTATTATCTGTAAACCGGACATTGCAACACTTAATCGTCGCAAGGAACTTGTCTCCACGTGTAGACACGCTAATAAATTTCTACTTAAAAACTTTATAACTTGATACTAATATTTTCGTGACACTACTACTTAAGATGTTAATTGATTTGTAATTAGATAAGCATTCTTTACCATCTGTACATATTAAGTTCGTACATAAAAAGTTCGTTAGAAGCTATAGGTCAAACACAGGCTATTTTATCTGAAGAGTGCCACGTTAGTTACGTAGTACGAAACTGTATAGTAATAAATATGCCAAACAAAGCTTGCTAAGTTTTTGTGTCTTTCTATTATGCTCTGGTTATCCATTGAGCACTCTATCATTGGTTTTTATAACCCAACACAAATTATTTTATTATATATATATATAGAGATATATATATATGATAACTATATTTAGGGGTGTACGATCCATTAGAAAAAAAACCCTGAAATTAGCTGGTTATACAAATTTGTCTTCAGCAGAGTCCTCAGGGTCACATGCAGTAATTTCCTATTAATCTAGGGGGGGGGGGGGGAGGCGGAGGCACGGTTTTTTAACTAGAGCTGACGGTGTATAATTACTTACATTAAGTTTGAGGTGATTTTTCATTTCATTTTCAAAAAGTAATGTAAAACAGAACATTAATCCAATATCAAATTTAAGTAATTGAAGCAATCCTACATTGTACAAAATATGTTCGGCAATGTCAATCTATGATACAAAGAACTTACTAAGATATATTGTCTGCCATTAATAATGTTCGTTTATTGTAAGGATATACTAGATTATTTTTAGCATTAATTTGATCACTTATTTATAAAATTGACGGGGTAAATATCAGATCCAACTCCGAAAATTATCACTGAATTTGTATGTTCCTTTAATCAACGATGTCCAGCATTTCATGTTAAATTTACAGGCTAGTCCTGAAAGCAAACCTCATCTGTTCCAAAATAATTAAAAATGCTTTTTTTACGGATTGTGCTTCCCACTCAAGCAAAATGCCCTGACCTTCAAAAATTGAACTGAAGACAATTGGAATTGCTGTAATTTAATTGTACAATAATTCCAAACTTTATACTAAATTGACAAAAAAATACTGTATTAGAAATACTATAAACTGAAA